GTTACTCGGACCAAGTCTTTCCACGCCTCAATCGTTGCCTTACCAATATTAGGGCTTGGTTGTATTAGTTGTAGTGTTCTGGTTAGAGTAGTTTAGTTAGTTTGTATTAGTGTTGAAGTATATTCTTGTATTGAAGGGGGGGAATTGCCTTTCACAACGCACATTATTCATAGAGTTTCCAAAACAGGCAACTGATTAAATTTATAATCATCTGAATTCATATCGATATGATCTAAGAGTATAATTGTCTTCCCGATTCGGTCAAAATAGAAATACTAGTCTCGGCTGGTATCTTAGCCGGCGCCATTTAGCGAGGCAGTGACCGGCGCATCCCTGCTTAGCCGTCTTTTCGATCGGTTGACTTTTCGTCAACTTGAATGATCATTATATAACCTGCACTATGTTTGTAATTAGACTGATGTTATACACCTCCAACTTGGGGCAATGTCTAAAATTCAGCATCAAAGTTGTGGACGGGCCGCACATTACATATAGACCTTGGTGCACATAAAAATTTTTTAAATGTGCACAACAAATAGCTCCAATATGATGTTGCCAAAGAAAACATACGATTATTAAAATAGATTTTTATAAATTTATAATAATTTATTTTTAGAATTGCATGGTTTTATTTGGCGACATTCATATATAAACTCTGTCTTTGCATTGGAATTTCGTTGTTAACTATATATTGCTAATTATGCAAAATATCTACCGGTAATTTATTAATTCTTAACTAGCGCATTAACTAAGGACATTTAAAGTTATAATTTCGTTTAACGTCCCTTATGAAACTTAAGCGCAGTGAGAGAGAGGTATAGGTGTCGATTTAAACAAACCATTATGTTATATTGTAAAAATAACATATTATTGGTTGCGTATAGGCACGTGACTTATTGAAATCTCAAAGCGTAATGAACGTCCTCATTAGCCTGTTTAATTTCAGGGACCTTTTGGAGGTGGAGGGGTAGAACGTTAAACGAAATTGTAATTTCAAACAGCCCAATCTTTATCATACTATAATGTTGTATAGCGCACGTCAAAACTTAAAAAATATATGAATTTAAAATTTTTAATGTGCGCATTCTGCTCATAATCTTAAAACCTATGTGCGCTTTGCGCACATGTTATTAATCTTTAATAAGGTGCGGAAATTTTTTTTTAATGTGCTCTTCGCCCCTTCCACAAAACAATTTTAGACACTGGCCCCCAACGTATTACGTATCACGCGCATTATTAAATCATAAGTTCATGGAACTTGCAGAACCTTTTTAACGTTTAAATAAATACCGAATTTCATTATAATAGATTAAAAAATACGTTCTGTGGAATGGTATGAGTGATTTTATTATTTGACGTAAAAATTAGTGCATGTTAAATATCAATTAATTTATTAATTTGTTTTTAATTTGTTTTTAATTAGATTCATTAACTTTTTTTTGACGTTTTATGACGGTTAAATGACAAAATTCCAGCAGATGAAAGGGAACAAGCAACAGCTCTTTACATCTACGGCAAATGTCAATGTATGTTTGGAATAATGCCACAGTTCGGTCAGCCAGTAACAACATCGCTTCTAAAAAGACTTTATACGACACTTTAGGGTATCACCCGTAACGACACCGTCTAATGCATTGGGATTTTGAGCTAATCCTATGACCTCACCGTTTGCATTTGCACCTAATCTGTTTGGAGGAGTCAATCGCAATCAGGTTGGAAATGCAATGTATAATAATTATAATGGTTGTTAGCACTGCAATAATAAAGATCAAGATAAGTTTTACACCGCTCCAGATTATTGTTTTTGTAATGTTATTTTGGAAGGAGAGCTAGATCTTAATGACTTTGTTAATTTGTGAGTATTATATATTGAAGGTATTGAGTATAACAAGGAACAACAACAAAAGTTAACAAAGTTGAAGATTGATAGATATATTGAGTTAACTTACATTACGATTAACCATACAACCCTTGGTTATTTAAGTTTAGGTAGTAAACCAAAATTGCAGTGCACTAATGTCATTGGCAACAAACGACTTATTTTTTGTGATAGTGTAATAAAAAATCAAGTAGAAAGGTTAGCTCATTGGATCCAAGATCCTAAAGTCATTAATATTGATGATTTAAAATTGGAGTTTAAGAAAATAGAAGAGGAGGATTTAGATTACCAGTTTGATATTACTAAAAGTAGTCTGGATGAAAATGATCAGTTGTGGTTGGAAAGTTTAATAGAAGCACATAAAGAAATTTTACAGAATAACAGCGCTTATGCTTGTAAACAATTAGAAAAATGTAAAAAAAAATTAACTGAGGTGCTAACTGATGAAGAAATTCAATACATTTTGGGCAAAAAAGTAGAAATTAATGAGTTGGAAACTCATTTAAATTATATCGTTAAATGATTGTTAACAGTTATTTGAGAAAGCTCATTTGATTAATACAAAATTGCTAAATGAATATATACATTATTATTTGAAATAGTGATTATTATTTTATATTAATATTTGACTTAGATTTTAATTGTTATTTCAATCCATTTATAAGAATTTCGTTTCTCGAACTGTCATGTACTAAAGGATGAATACTATATTGACGGCTCTCAGAAAGCATCGTAACAAGCACACAGTTTATTTATTGTGTTAATATTATTATCAATTATCAATCCTTCAGTTTTTTCAATTATGTGTTAATATTCTCTCATCTGATATTATATTTTATTATTTCTTTTTGTATATATAATTTGGTAAATGGTGGGAGGTTGTTTCAAACATTCAAAAGTAATTTTAAACTACTTGTCACGATTTTAAACTACAAGAGACATTCAAATAATCATAGTTCTATATTATCAGAAGTTGTTTCAAAGAGATTTCGAATTATATGACGAATTTTCAAATTAAAAGGGTGTATTTTGGCAAAGCTAAAACAGCTTATAGAATTTTTTTTAAAAAAGTTTTTATTTTTTATTTAAATTGTATATATAAAATTATTAATGCAGCAGATTGGTGTAAAATTATAATTGGGATTGTATAGTGTAAAAAGAGATTAAATTTTCAAGGAGTTCATATGCCGATTTTCATACAATTAAATGTTTAAGTCTACTTAATTTTATCTCTTTATTATGAAAAGAGTTCAAAGGGCTTCCATCTTCTATTCATGCAACGGGAAAGAAACATATATGAGCAAATGTACAAATGAACATTATATAATCCAGTGATCTTCCTTCTCTGATTATACCGTCAATAATCCGAATATCCATCCGGGAAAAATGAACAGGAGGGAACGTCGATGTTATACAACTGATATTCACCCGGTGTGCAACATATTAAAAAATTATTTTACCAAATGGTGTTGGATTATAATCATGTGCTAACGGAATGATTTGGTATTGTAAAATAATTTTTTTATATGTTGCACGCCGGGTGAAGGATCAGTCGTGTAACGTTCCCTCCTGTTGGAGAAATGCTAATTTAGCTCCTTCGATACATGTGACAAAATTTTATTGTAACACAAATATCTGTTTTAAAAAACAGAAATATACCACTCTCTAACGCTAATCTTTACGCTAACCCTAACATTTTGAAGGTAACTCTGGAGAAGAATTATTGTTATAACTCGACCATTGGTCGAGTTTTTTTACTTTTGAATCCTAATCTAATTACAAAATACAAACCAAAATTTTTATTTCGAAATAATTTGAATTTTTTTTAGACGGCAATTTAACCAAGGTAATGTATTTATGGTTTTTAACGTATTACATATAAGGTTTTTAACGTATTACATATGAGCGTGGTCAAATTAAAACCGTAAGTATTGGACCGTAAATCAACAATGTAAAAAACCTGAGGTGACAAATAGTTTATATTAATTTTATAGAAATTATTTATATGTATTAAATGAGTTTTTTTTTT